CCTCAACTTGTGGGAATGTCAAAGGATCCCCTGGGCTGCCTCACCTGGCCCCTGTCCCTCTCAGAGCCAAGGACCTCTCCCCTGCCCTGGGCTCGTGAGTCAGCCACCTGGGGAGAGCTGTAGTCTTCCTAACCAGCATTTCAGAACTCCTAAGCAGAGCATGCTTTGATGCCACCCACCCAAGTCATTGGAAACATGGGACTCCTGGTGACCTATTGTTGACATGCTTATGAATATGGCCCTTGTGCCCGAGAATGGTGAATGGGCACAGATGGGAACTCTGGGAACAAATGTCCTCAAAAGTCATGGATCACTGTGGGCTTGGTGGCAGGGGTGCACACCTTCCCAGGTGGGTGGAAACTGGGTCTTGGGTCCGGCTGGGGTGCTGACCCGGCTCCTGGCTCCCCAGACGAAAAGCTTCACTTCATTGCACTAGACACTCATGTCAGCTTGGGCATTCCAGCATAAGCCCAGCTCCTCTCTGCCACTGCAACGAGGGGCGAGGGTGAGGTGGAGCCCGCAGAGACGGCGGGTGTGGCCTGGCCTGGCTCTCCTGGAGCACCACACCACTCTGAGCAGCTGTGTGGCTGCCGGGTGCAGCCCACCTCACTCCTTCTCTGTGAGGTCAGCTCTGCCTGCGCTGACTAGAGGGCGTCCTCCGGCCTGCCTTGCAGCAGTGCCCCTGGAGCGGGGGAGCCCCGGAGGAGCTGCTGTGGAAGGCCAGTGCTCACCTGCCATGTGCCGGATGGTCTTCCTGCAGTACTCCTCAGCCAGCGGGACCACCCGCAGCATGTCCCGCCCCCACTGCACCAGCGGCTTTCCTTGTACTGCATAAGAGGCAAACAGGGCCGTGCACAGGGAGCCGAGGAAGCCTGTGGGAGGGAAGAGAGCCCAAGAGAGCCCGCTGTGGCCGGCCCTCAGGTCCTGGTCTCTGAGCAGACCTGGCCTATAGCCTGTGCACCTGCCTTGAGCTGTGAGCGGAGGGTGGCTCTGTTGATGAGCTGACCCTGCCACTTACTCCAGGCCCAGCAGAGGGGGTCCTGACCTGCCCTCCATGAGGACCATCTTGGACAATGTTGTACAGTCCAGAAGTTCCAGAAAGTTCTGGCCTCCCTGTGCCATCTGTGGGACCCTGTGTTCAGGGTGACATTATCAACTCAGTTCATCCTTGCACTCCCAGAGCCTGGCTCTGAAAGATGGCCCTGGGGGTGTGGCCTGTGCCATTACCAGTGTGCCTGCTGTGCAGACCAGGAGATGAAGCTCAGGAGGTGGGGCCCCTTGCTCCAGGTCACCAACTGCAGAACCAGGTCTGAACCCACCCAGACCAACTGCAAGTACTCCCTGGGTCATTTCACAGTGCCACTGCCGCCATCACCCTGTGACAGGTGAGGCAGGGCTAGGTTGGCCTCACCCCGGTCAGTGTCCAGTTCCCCTGACCGTGCCATCCCCCAATGCTGCCTCTGTGCAGAGTCGCACCACAGGGCACCTCTCTTTTTTCTCTTTGGACTAACACGGACAAACCCAGAATCAGTGGGAGTCTTTCCCCCGCCCAACCTCCCACCATCATGGGTCTGGCACTGATTCTGCCTTCACATGGGAAAGAGACTTAGGCAAGATGAAGAAATGGCCCAATTCCTCCAAAACAGCCAATGGGAAGGTCAGCCCGGCCTCCCGAGATTTCCAGTCCAAGAGGCAGGGAGATCCCAGGAGCCAGCCAGCTTGAGTGCTGCCTCGTCTCAAGGCCGGGGCTCCCTCAGCAGGCAGGCCTGCACCTGTCTGGCGCCAGCATTACCTGTGGGATGGTTGTGGGTCATTCTGCCGCACTCAATGCTGACTTCGATCAGAGTCCCCAGCCGCTCCGGCTTCCAGTACCGCATGCCGATGCACATGGCTTTTGTGGCAGCTCCAAATCCTGAGCCTATGTGGAGATGAGCACCCTGTGTCAGACTCTTTCTCCAGTAAGCCCACCTCTGGCAATCTAGCAGCACAAATCATTTCTAAAGCATAAAACCTCATGTAATAGCACATTCATCAGAATGTCATTTGGGATTATTTTTATTAGATAATTTCTCAACTCACGGATTTTAAATTGTCGACCTGGTCGTGTCTATTAGTTAAACTTTGTAAAACATACTTGTTTTTCCACTGTATGCAAACTGAAAAAAAAAAAGATATACAATTTCTCTGTTGTATGTTGGATTATGTAGGAAAACTCTGTGAACAATTTTAAAGAATAAAAAAACCAAATTCCTGTTGGGGGGATGTCATTTGGGTGAGTGAACAATGGCAAGCCACTCTGAAGATTGCTATCAGGTGCATGAAGGCCTAGGTGGTGTGCCCTCCTGATGAACCAAGGCCCGTGAGGCGGACCAAGTTGATTCTGTGTTCCTGGCAATGTACTTTGCTCCAAAAGTTATTGCATATGTCATTAATACAGTTGACCCAGCTCTTGTGTCTGTCAACAGACATTTAAAGGAAGTGGACATTTTTTGTTCCATAACTCCCATCTTTACAGTTCTGGATGTCCAAGAGCTGGTCACAGGTACCCCTTTGGCTCTGGTGTGAGCCTTCTGGCTAAAGCAATCCCTTGAGAGAGAAAGTGAGGAGCTTCAGGAGTCGCATAGTAGCTGCACTGGCCCTTGACCAGGGCAGGCCCCCAGCACTCCAGGCCTCTGTCCACCCTGCTGGACGGAGCACCAAGGCTCCACCTGGTTTGGACAGGAACAGACACTGCCACACCACAGCAAGGTGCAGTAGCTTTGTGCTTTGAGGCTTCACCCAGGGGGGAGAACTATCTCCAACTGCCTCCTTCTGTCTTCTGAACGGATGTGGCAGGAACTCCTTCTTACCTTCCAACCACACACAGAGTGGACTGACCTGAACTCAGGTCTGCTTTACGTCCACCTAAGGGGCACACGGCACATGGGAGACATGGAACAAGACCAGCTGGAGACAGTGAGGACCGTGATGGGGAGAGGCTCCTCCCAACCCCTGCGCTGCCCCTGCATAGGACTGCACCCAGGTTGATGGTGAGGCTGGCCTGCAGAACCCTAAATGTGGGCCAGCATTCATTATAGTTTTCTCTCTACTCTTGCACACACTAGAATTTTCCAAAATGAAAATTATGTGATAAACATGCAGATAAGAAGTTGAGATATCATCGCAGTAGGAAACTGGAGTAGCAGAGAGGCTCTGGGTCGGAGCTGCAGTCCAAGAAGGTGAACAGCTCCTGAGGCTGACTGGAGTCACACTTGGAGAGCTCAGAGCATGTTCACCTGCTCGAGCTGCAAAGACACCACCAAGTCAGCTTCCGACCTCAGGGTTCCCAGCCCGAGGCAAGAGGTCACGGGAAGGCCACTGACAGTCAAGTCACAGGCAAGGCTTCCGTTGGTCCTTCCCATTAGAGTGGACAGAGGTGGCATAGGAAGTCTAAAGAGAGGCTGTGCTGCGGCTCAGTGGCAGAGCACTTGCCTAGCACATGTGGGGCACTGGGTTCGATCCTCAGCACCACATAAAGATAAATAAATAAATAAAGGTATTGTGTCCATCTACAACTAAAAAAAAAATGTCTAAAGAGAAATGTTGGCTATAAGCTGTCAGAGACCTGTTCAATGTCACAAAGTGGTATCAGTACTTAGATTAGAAACCAAGTCAGTTGATTGTGTGTTCCTAAAAAATAAAAATATTCAAATTAGTTCTTTTAAAAAAATATTTTTTAGTTGTGGTTGGACACAATGCCTTGGTTATTTATTCACTTATATGTGGTGCTGAGGGTCGAACCAGTGCCTCGCAGGTTAGGCGAGCCCCCACAGCTGAGCCCCAGCCCGGCCCAGCCAGTTCTTTACCGTAAGAGTCGTGCACTCACAAGGTCAGGAACAAGAACCAAAGTGTTTGAAGCAAAAGCCGATTTAAAGCCCAGAACCCCCTTGGCCTTGCTCTGTCTCCATGGACAAGTGCTTCTTTTCCCTTAGAGAAGTTTCTTGGGCAGATGCGCCCGTGACTTCTCCCTGCCCTGTCCTTCCCATAAACACCGCGGAGCACGGCCTGGAGCCTGGGCCGACGCCCACAGGCGCCAACTCCCGCGGCCTTTCCAGCTTCTGCTCCCACAAGGGCTGCAGAGGGCACCCCGCACCCTTGCTTTCCTGGACGGTCACTGTGGGTCCTTTACGCCTCCGGAGGGAGGACTGCCAGATCAGGGGGTGTCCGTCACGTGGCTCTGACAGATGATGCCAGAGTTCCTCTCGGGGGCTGCCTCTACCCACCCAGCAGGAAGCTCTGTGTGCTCTCTCGCACCACAGAGGTGCAGGCTCTCCTGGTTGTGGCCAGCCTGCACCTGCTCCAGCTGCCCCTTCCAGAGCACCGGTCTTTCCTTGGCCACCCGGGGCTGCCGGAGCAGCTTGCCTGGCCCACCGGGGTTCTGTGCCTTCTCAGGGAGAACCTTTACGTCAGGGAGAGCCCCTGAAGACCGAGTCCAGGTCTGCAGCACACCCGTCACCACGACGGGTCGCGAGAGGGCAGGAGCAGAGGCTGGGCTGCCTACTGCACACCCCTGGGGCCCCCCGGCACCCCAGAACTGAGGAAGAACCCTCTGGGGAGCCATGCCTATGTGCAGATGCCCATGTGGGCTGCACAAGATCAGGGGCCAACCCCAGTGCCCGTGGTGAGGGCAGAGCCCATGTCTGTGGGCCTGGAGGGAGCTCTGGGGAATGGGGCAGACTCCCTGACCCTTTTCACTGAAGGGTGTGTGCCAGGCCAGGAGGTAGTTATCTGGCTTCAGCAGTGAGCAGCCCTCCACGGTGGCTGGGTCTTGCCGACGTTCCGGAAGCTTCTCGATGGCCTCCACATAGCATCTCACCATCTCACGGTACAGGTCATCCAGGCACCAGAAGTCTAGGGAGGAAGAAGGCAGATAGAGGTCACATGGACAGTGAGTGTGTGGAGTTGGGGCCGGCACCCGGGGAGGCAGCGATGGGGCCTGTCAGCCAGCCCGAGATGGAGGCGACTGACATGCAGACAGTCCTTGGGTCTCCCTGTGACCCAGGTGTCAAGGTGGTTGCCGTGCCTGTCCTGGGAGATCCCCACACCCTCATTCTCTGCTAACTGCTCTGTCCATGTGAGAGAAAAACTGAGCAGAATCCCTGCTCCTGGCCGCGAAGCCGCCGTCTCGGCCTATAGGAACCCTGTGCAGGGCCACACTGTACCCATGTTTCCATAAAGCATATCCCGGGGACAAATATGGAGTCGAATCCCCCAAAGACCAGGGGCACTGAGGGCACAAAGCCAGTCCCCATGGAGCCTGCCCCCACTGAGCCTGGGCATGTGCATCTTAGACAGCAGGCAGATCCCACACATTGGGTCCTGTTTCCAGATAACATTCAGGGAGGCGATTCCTGTCCACGTCTGGAGCAGGTCAGTGGATTTCAGTTGCAAAGCTGAGTGTTTTGGCCACTAGGCTGATCCATAGTATGGTGGGCATCACCCCTGATGCCGGGGTCCAAGGTGCCTGACCACTCTGAGAGTGGGCTGAGTCAGGCGAGGCAGGGTGGGGTGCCCCAGCATCTTGTGCCACACCAGTGCTGCGCTGAGCTCTACACGGAGCTGCCATGGTGCTGTGAGCAGCGGCACTGCTCCCTCCTCCTTTGTGATGATGGGGCAGGAACGTGGAGGAGGGAAGAGATCGTAAGGGCAGTTGCCTGCCTACCCCTGGGAAGAACAGGGCCCGAAAACCCAGAAACCTCTCGTGGCTGGACCAGAGCCAATGCTGCGGAGCCAGGGCACAGAAGGCTGGAAGGGTCACTGACAGCTTGCGGCAGCCCAGCCCCCAAGCCCCCTGGACAATGGAGAGTCCTGGGATGCAATCCTGTGGCCCTTCCCTGGATGAGCCATCGGGCACCCAGCTCTGAGGCCCTGTATGGGTGCCACACCCCCAGGGAGGGGCCCACGTGGCAACCCTGCAGGAATAAGCCAGCCTTGGCCTGCCCGGCCACGCTGGGGGCGCTGGGCCCGTGGTTGTCCAGCTGTCGGTAAGCTGATAGAGTTCTGGTACAGTCGACAGTGCTACCCCTTTGCAGACGGTCTGCTTTCCCTGCATACTGGCCAGCCAGCCTGGCCTTCTTGAGTCCTCTAAAGTAATTACTTTCATTCCAGAGTCAGATGCCACAAAATTTATGCATTTCACATCAGTTGCTTCCTGTAAAGCAAAATAAAATCCACAAAACCAAAATGGCAGTCTGGGTGTGGTGCCACACCTGTAATCCCGCAACTCAGCAGGCTGAGGCAGGAGGATTGCAGTTGGAGGCCAACCTGGGCAACTCAACGAGACGCGATCTCAAAATAAAAGTCATAAGGGGATGTGGCCCAGTAGTAGAGCACCCTGGGTTCAATCCCAGTACAAAAAAAAAAGTGCAGGGAGGGGTGGGCCCCGCTTGGTGGAGAGCCCGAGCCTACGAGAGGGCCTGGGTTTGGCCCAGTACAGGGTCAAAGGCAGCAGAGAGCTTTTCAGCTGAGTCTGAGCTGGAAGCAGGCTCCTGGGCTGTAGACTGCTGTGCTTTGGAGGCCCGTTAGTCCCCCTGGCATCCCCCTGGTCTCCTGAAGGACAGGCCAGTTAGGGAGACTGCCTGTTATGATGAGAGGCAGACAGCACCAGCATCCTTGAGGGCACTGCTGAGAGGAAAGGGCTGGGGTTGGCCAGGGACACACGGGCACTTTCTGGCAGCCCTCTGCCCAAGTAGCTGTGCTTGGCCTGGGCGTCGACAGTTCTGCTGACCATCAGAAGCACAAGGTCCAGATCAGCTGATGGAGCCTCCCAGTGCTTACCATGCTCCCCTGGGGTCTGTGGACTCCACGCTGCCCCAGGGCACCAGCTTCCTCAGCTCGGAAGAGGTGAGTGGGAATGTGGAGTGGAGAAGCTGGGCTTCAGGGCGAGCTCTTGGGGGACGAGCAGTCCCTGCGGCCTGGTACCTGAGCGTGGAGTGACAGGTGCTGCCCTGGGCACCGCGCTCTGGCTCCGCCCACTGCACTCGTGACGAGCCTGGTCAGCTTCTGCTCTATGCTGTGGGACACACCCAACTGGGTGATGCCCAGGCCACATGGCCACACATCTGGAGAACTCTGCTTGGCCTAGAGACATGTTCAAGAGCCACTGTGCATGGGGGCATGGAAACACCTGCATGGCCACTGTGACCTTGGGGGGTCAGGAGAGCCTGTGCAAACAGCAAGGGCCAGACTGAGCTCTTAGCCCGCTGTCACTCGTGGGGCTGTGCAGCCTTTCTGCATGTCCGTCCCTCTCCTGCAGCCCAGTGGCACTGGGCTCCCCTGTGGGGAATGAGGACCCCCACCCTGGGGTAAGTCCTGCAGGAAGCTGCACACCCGAGGGCAGAAACGCAGGCGTCATGTGCCTGGAAGCCCCCGACGGCAGGCTGCAGCCTGTTACTTAAGAACAAAACAGGTGGTGTGAGAACTGAGTGAGACTTCAACTCTGAGTGTCAGCGAGTTGAAAGAATGTGCTTGCTGCTGTTTCTAGAGGGGCAAGTGATAAGAGGGATCTTTGTGAGTCTCATGATCCAATCGGGAGGCCAGGACGGGCACCACACGAGGGTCACCTGCTGCCAGGCCTGGCAGTCGCCACCCGTGGGGAACTGACCTCTAGCTCAGGAACAACGCCGCACCGTTTCCTACCCGTGCTTCATTCGGGTGGCTGTGTCCCAGGGATCCCAGGTGCTCTCCATAGTAACTGTACAGCCTGACAGGGGCCCAGGGCTCTGCACCCGCTGACGTGCTGGTCACGTGGGCCTGCGTGTGGCTGTGCCTTTGTGAGCACGGAGTGCCAGACCCCAGGGCAGAGCAGGTGCCGCTGTGTGCAGCCAGGATAGACCGTGCTGGGCTGGGCTCTGGCAGTCTGCAGGGCACCACAGCTCTGGGCTCAGGGCATGGTGCTGCTGCTGGTGAGGGCAGAGGGCACACACACCTGCTGAAGACAGAAGCAGGAAACACAGGCTCCAGAACTGTGGTGACACCACTCTCAGTAGGCTGTGGCTTCTTATCTTATTGACATGCTTCAGCCCTCTCACCAGCTATTTAGGGATGAGCGATGGCATTCCTACACAATGACCACAGAGCTAAACTGAGCGCGCTCACAGCCGGCAAGTGGAATGGCGACGAGAAGGCATAGAGGAAACCCATTGACTTAGAAGCCACCCTCAGACCTCAGCTTTGCCATGACAGACTGATAATACCTGCAGGACTGAAGCGCATGGGACCTGCAGGAGAGCTGCCCTTCTATGCACCACTGTCTCTGTGAAACTCATAAAATCTGCTTGGTCCTAAGATCAACCTGCTCCTGGTGGGGCAGTTTAAGAGACTGTCCCCCCAGATCCAGGCGACTCCGCAGTGTTCTCCAGAATACACGATGAACAAGCAACATCCAAGATGAACCACTCCGGCAGATCTTCAGCCTTAGTTCATTGGAATGGAGATGTAATCCCCAAAGGCTAGTGTATTAATGCTCCCAAGTTTTAAGCTGGTTTAATTTTACATTATGCACTAAATTAAGAACAAGAAGACTCAATTTCTAATGCAGTAGCAAGCCCTTGCTCTGCTCACACCAAAACAGCAGTGAAGCGGAGGCTCTGGGGCCGCCCCTAGTGGAGACAGGGTGCTGGGCTTGACCAACAGTCTACCAGAAGCTGCTCTTCAATGCTATATCTGGTTGTCTCTGAATGATCCTGTCACCCAGAGACACCACGAGAGAAAAGGACTTGGGCCTGAACTCCCGAGGGACCCTGGTGACTCCGCCTTCCAGGCCCAGCTCAGAGGCGCCCCTGCACCCCACCCCTGCCTGAGCAGTGCCCGAGTGCCCCAGGCCTCCCTACCTGTGGCAAGCGCCTCAGCGGTGGCCAAGTGCATGATGGTGTTGTCACTCACTGGCCACTTTCCGGGAGACAGCACCAGGTGGTCGAGTCCCCCGATCTTCTGCAGCTCCTCCTGGACGGAGCCCAAAGCGCTGTTCTCCCTGCAGACATTGGCGTAGCCCAGGGCGTCCCCCGCGCTCCCCAGCAGCATCGCGGCTGTGAACTTCTCCATCTCAGAGGCGGCTCCACACACCCCGCTGCTGCCTTTGTCCTTCCCTGGCCGCCCTCAGCCCACTTGCTGACATTTATACTGGTCATTGTATCGCTGTCCAGCGCCTCTAAGTGGCCGGGCACTCCTTTCCTATCTCCGCAGGTGGCACCAATGGGAAAAACTTTGACCCGACCACGTGGGCGGCCTCAGCCTCTGCAGTGCCTGGCTGCAGGCACCAGGCTGGCTGTCGGCCCCCCGGGCTGGCTGCAGGCGTCCAGAGCAACTCTGGCACCTCCTGGAAGGAGCGTGCCCTCCCAGGGGCGGGGCAGGGCGTGCGCCTGGGACCTGAGCCGGCGTGCCTCTCAGCACGGCTGCCCTGGAGCCCACCTTGGCCCTCTGCTCCTCCCCAACACCCCCCTGCGGTTTCTATAACTTTGTCTTTTCTAGAAATTTCAAACAAATGTATGTATCTCGCTATACACTAGAAGTTTCTAGAAATTTGTGGCCTTGTGTTCTCTGAATGCCACTCGTTAGTTTCCTCCTTTAAAGACTGTTTCCAGATTATGAAATGCTGATAGGAAACTCAACGGTCGCGGTGCTCGGCTCCTCCTGGCAGATCAGGCACTACCTGGCCAACACCTGCAACTGGCCCAACAGGGCTCACGGTGGGGACGGTGGCGGGGACGACACAGCGTGGCGTCTGGTTACTCCACCAGAGCTCAAGGTGACAACCTGTGCCTGCCTGCTGGGAGAAGGACACTCACAAGCATGGCCTACCACAGAGCTCCTGGCCTGAAGCACACGACGGTGGCCCCAAGCGTCCCTCCTGCTCGCACCCAGAAGCGAGGAGCCACCTGAACTTCAGAAACCTGGCAGGAACCTGAGTGCAGCAGGCCCCTGCGCTGTCCCAGGCACTCTGCACCACCAGCGCTTGCTGAACTGAGATGCTGGGGTGTTTCTCCAGGCAGCACGGTTTCAAGATTCTGAAATCCAAGTCCTTCAGAACCCGAAGGGGAGCAGGTTCCAGTGCAAACAGGACAGCACACCCACCAGGAGGGACAGTGCCTAGGCTGGGGTGCAGCGTGCTGGGCACACGCCTCCTCAGAAAGGGTGGGAAGCTCTGCTGAGGGAGCTTGGGAATGATTTCCACACCATCTGCCTACGCCACAAGGAGCAAGGGGCAGGGCTCACATATGGCCTCTGTCCACTCAGTTACTTACAGAGCCCCAACTCTGCCAGTCAGGACGGGTAACAGAACTCACTTTTTTTTTTGTGGTGCTGAGGACTGAGCCAGGGCCTTGTGCATGTGAGGCAAGCTCTCCACCAACTGAGCCAGATCCCCAGCGCCTCGCTTCACTTTTGTCCTCAGGAAGCCTGAAAGGTGCACAGTTCTGGAACACACTGTCAGTGTGGGAGAGAGATGGTGCCTGTCCAATACCCCAGGGAGGAGCTAGTGCCGTGAGAGGGTCACTTTCAACTCAGCCGTGGCTTCGTGTGTTTGGGTCCACAATTCCCATGCCCTCCTCTGAGTGCTCTTTATTGAGTGTGGGCGTAACTTCTCAGAAGCCGTGATTGGCATCAGTGACACTGAGGAAGAACTGTAGAGACAGGAGCCGTCTGTCTGGGCCATGGTTACCTACCTGGGTCGGACACCAGGGGGTCAGGGCCCCTGGATAAACAGCAGAGTCCCACCATCTGGTGGCAAGTTATCTACACAACCAAGAAGATCAGAACGACACAGTCTGGGGAAAACACTTTATTGCGGTATTTTGAAGTTCTTAGCATCTTTGCAGCATGCAGGACTCAAAGGTTGACTAATGGAAGCAGCAGAACACAGGTCTTTGAAGTCTGACCAACTTCACTTCAGTATCTATTGACAGTCCCACAGAACTTCAAACTTACACACAGAAGGACTGCAGGCCTCCCTCACTTAGTCACTGAATTCTACAAACTTCTCCAAACAGAACAAGAGTCCAGGCAGTCTAGGGGGGTGCTGTACTGCTTCTTGGGTTTTTATTACAGCCAGAGTTTATTTTATTGAAGAAATGCTGAGTTAGACTTAGAGATGGCTGTTTCCTCTTTCAGACAGGGCAAGAGATCCTGAGAAAGGTCACATGGCCCGCCCTGAACAGACCAGCCTCGCCCTCAGGCCTCCGTCCCTGCTGCCCTCTGCAAGGCTTCCACTCTGCAGCACTGGTAGTTGCCCACATTGCAGGGCACATGGTCCTCAGGCTGCGGCAGGTCCACACAGAAGCTAAGCACAGAGCAGGTTCCAGGGGCACCCTGTGCACAGGACATGGAGATGGCCCAGAGAGCCCGGCCCGCCTCTCCACGGCATGCTGCAGGAGGGCAGCAAGGCACACTGTGGACAAGGTCTTGTAGTGCGTGCTCCGGTCAGCACGGTGCTGCTCGAAGCTCAACAGCAGGAGAGTGGCCCCCGGGCCTCTGCACCTCGCGCACCAGTGGCTCTGGGCGTAAACTCAGGCTGTAGCTTGCAAAAGAGATGAGGGTCCAGGAGTGGGCTTTGCGTCCACGTGAGGATGGCTGTAAGAGGGCCAGACCCTGGGCATTGTGGGACTGCAGACAGGTGAAAGGGACAAGAGCATTTGATTTTAAATTTGTAATTCACTACTCAAAAAGGAAAAATGGAAAAATGTCTTTTTAAATAAAAAATATTAAAAGTACGGAACTTCTCAGGAAGTTGAAATAGCATTGTCAGAAAGACAACAGTCTGATTGCTGCAGTCACGCCAACACACGCCACCACTGCAGACTGCAACGGGGCCTTAAATATAAAATGGGTCTCAGATAAACATCCTGAGAGAACAAATATCCAAACCAGGGAGACAGCACAAGCCCAGGAGGAACAGCGCTGGGTCCCTGGGTGAGCTGCATCCTGGCACTGGCCGTCCGACTCGACATATCCACATCCTCCCAGGACAGACAGGGCTCTGTACTGTGGTCACAATGTGACGGGGTGCGAGTGGTAACTGCTGGTGTTCACCGTGAACCTGCATCAGACAGCAATCCCCCAAAGCAGCAGCTACAGCAAGCGGGCCGACCCCTGCGGCAGCTGTCCTCTGGGGGAGCAGCCCCACGGAGCCTGCCCCAGACATTGTGGCTCTGAGCAGGAGGATGCCTTCCAGCTTTGCGATGGCAAGGACAGTGGCTGAGACTGGCAGCGAAGCACACAGCACCACCCGGTGTGCCCTGCAGGATGTGGGCTGGCTCCGGACCTGCTCCACCTTCAGCTGTGTTTTCCACCCGAGAGCACTGGCCGTGCATACTCCACAAAGTCATCGATGAGGACAGGCCACGCTCCTGGAGAGAAGCAGACACAAGTCTTTAGAAGTCACCATTAGCGCCACTGCTACACTCAAAGTGACTTTCTGCAAAATCCTATTTCAAGAATCCAAATGATCTGCAGTTCACAAAGCTCCTGTTTCACCAAATAATTGGCTGAAACCACCTAATTCTTTTGCCAGCAGGCCAGGGTCAGTGAGCCATGGTGGGACATGGGCTGTGGGCAGTACACTGCTCACTGACTGGGTGCTTCCTTGGTTGGCCTCCAGACAGCTGGGACCAGCCGATTTGGGACAGAAAGACGGACCCATTTGTGCTCTGCAGGAAGGAGCAGCTGTTCCCGCAGTCGTGGGCACTCTGCCCAGCAGTGGTCCTGCCTCCCTGCTGGCTTCCCAGCCAGGTTCCTCACAAAGGCCCCGCCCCACCCAGCCAGGGTGTCCCAGCAGCCTCTACAGCCCCCGCTCCAAGTGCTGTCTATCTGCATAGACGGAGACCTCCCAGAGCTGAGCTTGTGCAGTCACTGCTGGGGGCCTACGTGAGCTAGACACCGTACTCGTGCTAAGGACAGAGAGGAGCTGTGCCCACAGAGAACACTGCCAGCCCAGTGAGCACAGAGGCAGATCCTGGAGGGGAGGCCTCTGCCTGGGACTGGCCCCCCCCAGAGTGGCATGCCTAGGCCCAGGAGGAACCCAGACCCCCGGAATAGGCCTAGGCATGGGGGCATCTACATGCACACAGCCACATAGGCCACCAGAGGTCTCCCTGTCAACGGCAACAGCAAGCACTCTGTGGGACCCTCAGAAACCAACAGGAAGGGGCACTCTCTGCCCTCAGCTGGGGAAGGACTGCCTGTCTGACCAGTGCTGCCCTTCCCTCTGAAGTCCTACAGTGTCTAGTACCTTCTTCATCGTAGTTAGACATATCATCTGCAATCATGTTTCCAAAATCTAGCAGAAGGTTCCAAGTGTCCCGTGGAATTGATCTTTTGTGATGTTCCTAATACATAAGAGGGAAAAAACCCAGCAGATTAAGGTCCAGAGCTCAACCCTCAGATCTCTTAGTGGCCAAGGGTCCTCCATCGATGAAAGATCCTGCTTATCTGACAGGCAAAAAGCACAGTCATGTCTGTCCCAAGGAGAGGCAGCAGTGGTACCGTGCTTAAGCACAGAGAGTCCCCCCGAGCCTGTGTTCCAGTATAGACTGGCCTAAAGCAGAAGCAAACGTTTTAAATACTAAAATCATAAATTCCTGTGCGGTCAAACTGAAGAGCAGCATTTTAATCTCCTGACCTCCTTCCCCACCAACTCAGAGACTCTGTGGGACAACAAGCGAATCATATTCCTATTGATCTCTACGTGTTTATTTTTCTCTGAATTTGCTAGCTCACGCGGGGGACGGGCTGACTCTCTGAAAGTATATGTCAGTCCGTATTTCAGAAACATCAAAGCCCTGAGGGCAAAGGTGACACCTGTGCCCACAGCAGGGCCGCCCTGCCTCTCTCGCCAACTATTTCTTCTGCCTTCTTCAGAGGTGCTCATTCCCCTGAGGGTGGCACTGCCGTTCTGCCACACACATGCCCACGGCCATGAGCAGCTCAGGAGCTGAGCAGGTGCCACGAACCATGACTCAACTACGGCAGTTCCCTACTACTTGTCCTTCTCCATCCAGCCGGGGCAGCACGCCAGCCCTGCGGCTCTCGGCTGCCCTGCGGCTCTCCGCTGGCCGCGCTGCGCTGGCTCTGCTGTGTTGACTCCTCACTTTGTTCTGTGGCTCTGTGGTAAGCGGGGGCTTGGGTGTGGGGGTGGTGGCACACTGTCTAATTCCCCATGGCTGCACACTATGGCCCAGCAGGACACAGTGCCTGTCCCCTGCCCAGCCTTGCTTGCTCCTAACAGGCCCAATAAGGCTCCTTGCCCTCCTGAGCACTGCAGAACATATTTTAAAACCTCCCCAGAACAGACACACGGTGGCTGCAACCTCTGGACACTGGGACCTGGTACACAGCTCTGGAGCCCCTGCCAACCGGCAGTGAGTTTGGCCCAGCCCTTTCCTCAAGGATTTGAAGTTTCTCAGGATTAACCGAGTTTTTTTTTGGCATGGGGTCCTTGGAGGAGATGGTGGATCCAGGTCTGCAGAGGTGCACCGCACTCTTCTAGAACCCATCTTGCGGGGTCTCTCCTGGCCTCGGCAGGGTGGAGCAGCACCTCTCCTGACACCAGAGCCCCTCCAAGCAGGACCTGTCCACCTAGGACCTCCAGGTGGAAGGTGTCAGGTGATTATCATCACACTCAGCCTCAAAGCTGACGGCCTCCCCGTAGACTGGCACACCCAGCAGGAAACCCAGCACTTACCAGCAGAAATGTGTTCCAAAGATCTAAAAATTTAAACCTTCCCGATAACACTAATTTCCAATATGCAACAGCCATTTCTAAATCTGGCAAAAAAGAGAAATAGTAGTTAATAAATTCCTATCTCTTTTTCTACTGCATAAGAAATGATACTCACTTGATTGTTAAAATTTGGCAATTTTATCCAAGAGTCACATGAGGCCTAATCTCACTCAATTCAGGAATACAAATGTTCCTGAAAATGACATATATTTTAATTTTCTGAATCTGAGGAAATTTTATATTTTAATTTTCTGAATCTGAGGAAATTTCTTGAAAAAAGGAATCGTACTGATATTTGGAAATGCAAGTAATCTGTACCATAATTAGTCAGTTTGGGAGACTTCCATTTCATAGACACCAGTCCTTTGATAGTCCTGACTTGATCTGGTAACTGTTAATGAATATCATTTATTTTTTGAAACAGCTGGAAACACCTTATCCAGAAAGAAGGGACCCCAGTCTCCACAGCCTGCCCCCTCTTGCTGCCAACCAGGGCAGTCTTAATGCTCGGGATCACTGGCTGCAAGCACATTAGCCAGGCACTCCAGCCATTCTGATCCCGCACTCTTGGTCAAGGTGATCAGCACATGTGGGGAAAAGGTCTTCACCATAGAAGGATGAGTAAAACTCTGGCTGCTTGTCAGTCAAAGTCAAAGCTCTCCCGGAAAGGCAGAGGTCGATCCTCGCCTTCAATGCAGACTCATGCTAGGGGTGCCACTTTAGATGCAGCTGAAGAAATGAAGGCTGTGCTTCAGGGCTGCAGCACACAGCATCTCCAAGCTACAGTTTTCCTGTACTCGTGGATTCTCTGTTGAATGGGAATTTTAAAATCACTTCTTATGGGTTAGGATTGTGGCTCAGTGGCAGAGCACTTGTCTTGCATGTATGAGGCAATGGATTTGATCCTCAGCACCACATGAAAATAAAATAAATAACATAAAGGTATTGTGTCCATCTACAACAAAAATTTTTTTTTAAAAGATCACTTCTTATATGCTTGCCATAGTAAGTATGTAAGGGGTGAAGAAGTCTATTTCTTAAAATGGACCACCTTTCATCGGAATACAGCTTCCCTCTGGTAAGCAATATAAGGATGAGTTATGTTGAAATAACTTCCTATTGCTGCTCACATGTGTGTCAGGTCATGTGAAAGAAGACTGATATATTAAGCTAAAAATTAGTTTAAATGCAAAACTAAATACTTTTCACAAGATTTTTTTCTAAGTCTGGCTTAGTCCCACTTGACCGAAGCTATCAAGCTGGAACTCTGTGACTTGAGCTCTCCAGGGCTGACCAGTAGCACCAGGCGGAGGCGGATACCCAGCTGCAGCCAGTGTCTTAAGCCTGTGTGCTCAGGTCTCCAGCAACGAGTCTCAACAGAAAGACAGACAGACAGAAAGTTCCGAGTGCCGGGCACGTGAAGGAGCTGTCTGAGCCTTACCTAGGGGACTCGCAGGGCAATGCTAAGATGATTATCTCGTCCTGCTCATAAGCCTACATCCTCACCACTTAGGAAGAACCCTAAGTGAGGTCTATGTTCGACTCATCTTAATGCTGACAAGCTCTCCCATTGGGAAATGGAGCTGAACCTGGGGAGGAAGAAGACAGAGTTTTATGGCATATATGTATTTCTATATATATATATATATCATCTAGTTATTCCTGGGCTCATTTTGGTCCTTCCATATGAAGTATCTGTTTTGGATGTGTGCAAAACACATGACTAAAAAGTAAATGTGCGTATTTTCAATATCTAATATTATTTGTGTAAAAATGTCACACTATACCAATGGATTTGGCTATTTTCAAAAGAAAACAACAAAAGTCAGAGTGGTAGAAGCGAGGCTGCGCTGGGGTGGGAGGTGCTCTGGTGCTAGATCTCCACGGCAGCAGTTTTCCCCCAAAACCTCTAAGAGGTCTCATCTCCTGATGTTATAGCAGAATTCACCTTGCAACGCTCAGTCGAGGGCTACATAATGAAGATGACCCACTGTCCAAAAAGGATCTTGGGCCAGACATAAAAATTAGTTTATTATCATGATACCTTCCCAAAAAAGCAAGATTCTCAAAGCCAACTGATTCTAGCTCTATCCAATGTGAAGCCCTGAGCTACACTGAGGATGTAGCTCCATTGTAGCTCAATCCCCTGGCATGCTGGAGGACCGGGTTAGGTCCCTGGCACCACAGCAGTGAGTCTAACCACTCTACTCACCACAGGCTGACCACCAACTAAGTACAGGGGTTCAGTAATCACACACAGGAACAACACAGCAGTGAGGTGTGTTGGTGGGCGCCTGCAGCCCCAGAGTTTGGGAGGCCAGGTAGGATGGTCACTGGACCCCAGGAGTTGGAGCCCAGCATGGGAAACATAACGATGTACACCCAGACTTGAGGGGAGAGCTGGACAAAGCTCTCGGATGCCACTGCCCACTGCTGCCCATACCTCTGCTAGGAGGTGTGGGAAACGTGTGCCATCTCTTTAGGTTGTGTGACTCTTTATAAGGCAAATGTACAACAATGCACTTTGGAAAAGGCAAACTGATCATGTTTAGTCTAAGGAAATAAAAAGACAGTCCTTTGTTCTAGTAAAGGAACTATGAGTTTGTCTTATCTCATTGGTGGGTCTCTTCTGTGGCTTGCGAGGCTGAACAGAGGCACAGATCTCACACTGCTTCAGGACATTCCTTGCCCTAAGCTGAACATCGCTGAAACATTCACAGAGGAAAAAATACATTTTTTAACTTAATTTTTTTTTTATTGTTGCAGCATTAGGACTAAACCCAGGGCCTTATGCACACCAGGCAAGCACTCTACCACTGAGCTATATCTCTGGCTTGAATTCCCCAACTTCAAATTAGGGAATTGCTTTAGGCTGCGACTTACCACCTTATGGAAGGTGGCAGTGTTGCAAGGAGATCATGTGCCTGTGCAGCCCCTCCCTCCTGCAGCCCCTGAGCTGTTAAGAAGGCTGGGGAGACTCCTGGAAAGAAAGCCAGATCCAGTAGGGTTCCTGGGTGCTTCCAGCAGCCCAGCCACCAGCTGAGATGACCCCGAGCTCTGTTGACCTTGTGGAACAGAAGGGTTGCCCTGCCAAGTCCTGCCTGAACCCCTGACCCTAAAGATCAGGTGCTGCAAAAAATGATGATCACCAGAAGCCACGAAGTTTCCAGGTGGTCTGGTCTGCAGAGGTACAGGCCTAGGAGTGGATTTGCAGCAAGAGTGAGACTCTGCCCCTGGAAGCTCCCAGTGCTGAGGCTGCGGCAGGGGACCCTGCAGGGCCTAGAAAAAAGTTCTTCTACTGCTCTACATCTGAAGTTAACCTGGTGCCAAAAGACAGACACCCTCAAAGCACAACCCCTACACATGGAAGGAAATGGAGTGCTAACCCTGTCAGTACTTTTCACTTCAACACTGAATAGATGCAATCTCCTGGAATTCAAAACGTAAATTATTTATTGCTAACAAGTTTAATTATCCTAATATTATACTGAAGATTCTGAAGAGAACAGAAAAATACTTTTTGATCATTCATTAAAAATTCAAGGTGTTCTTCCCTGACAACCATTTAATTCTAAAGAACAGACGTTATTTAAAAACTTGGATCGGACTGCTGCTTGCATCTTTTTTTTTTTTTTGGTACTGGGATCTGAATTCAGAGGTGTTCTACCATGGAGCTGTAGCCCCAGCCTTTTTTATTTTTGAGACAGGGCCTTGCTAACTTGCTGAGGCTGGCCTTGAACTTGTGATCCTCTTGCTAAGCCTCCCAAGTTGCTGGGACCATGGGCTGTGTGCTGGCTGATAAACTAATGGTCATTTTGAAAATCAAAGTGGACAAATCTCTAGGAAATAAACTGCTCAAAGCAAAGCATTATCTAAACGCTCTGTTTGAGAAAAAATAATGGGAAGATCAAAGGATTTTGAAGGCAGACCTGGAATGGCTGCCCAACCCTGTGTATGCATTTCATACCACCGAACTGTGCTCTTAAACTTCTCTGAATCCTCACAGAAATAGCAACAGCAGCCAGATAGCAAAACCAAACCCACAGGTGACATCTCCAATAAATCTAGATGTGAGGAGGTACCATCAGGAACCCAAACCCACAGGTGACATCTGCAATAAATTTTGAAGAAAAGAGCCCAGACAGGAAACTTAAGACCCAGCACCCCAACATTAAAAGCAGGCAGCTAATACTGGGAAACACAGCAGAAGAGGAAGGCCATCCTGGCCACAGGTCCAGGAGAGCTGCCTCTGGGTCTGCAGCTGGGTTTCAGGAGACGGCCGCAGCAGGGAAACAGGCAGGACTGCCAGCATCCTCCCTGCACAGGCTTGCGGGAAATCAGGATGGAAAACCAAATGTTGGTGGCACTTTTCTACCTCTGGGAGTTTTAAGCCACTTTCCAGTTTCTTATGTAATTTTAGTCATCTTATGATATTGCTTTTATTTACAGGAGTTTTTCCTCAAACTACACTTTCTAATAAGCCTGTTTATCCTTATTTAAAAGACCACATATCACTCCACCAACAAACATGTGAGATTTGAAGTTAACTAAACAAGGTCTATTACATGCATGAGGCAACCAATCTATCAGCATAGACAGATTTTTAGAAAGAGGTAAGGCAGAAATAACTATGCTTAGGTGCAAAACAAAACAAATAAATCAAATTCTCAAACTAAAACAAATTTTTTTTGTTTGTTCTGGTATTAGGATTGAACCTGGAGTGCTTAACACTGGGCCACACCTTCAGCCCTTTTTATTTATTTTTGAACTTGTGATCCTCCTGCCTCAGCCTCCCAAACTGCTGGGATTCCAGGTGTGTGCTACTACGCCCAGCTCAAACTGAAAATTTAAGTTGAAAACATCCGGATGCACTGCCTACAAAACACAAGCAGCCACACGACTGTGAAAGGAGGTGCACTTCCATGCACAGAACCGGCTCCGAGCAGGTCAGCTCAGCTCCCCAGAACTGCCCGGTGAGCCTCACCTGGCCACTCTCAAGGAGAGGACGTGAAATACCTGTAACTCAGTCGATACCTCAGGATTTAGACAGTTAAAGGGAGAAGATAAGATGGAGACACTGTTGGCTGAGGGTTTCAGGTGCGGGATGAACGAGGTGAGAGAAGCAGAGCAGGACGGTAGCAGCATGGCTGGCTGCACCGAGACCCCGCTGACACAGCCAGTCCTCCCCCGCAGACCAGGCGCTCACAGGGCGCTCCTACTCACCGAGGCCCTTTTGCCCAGGGTTCTTAGCAAAGGTGAAGGTAAACTGGTAGAGGTCCTTGAACTTCACGGGGTCCTGCAGCTCTTGCTCTAGGCTGGGCAGAAGGGTTCTGAGCTTCTCGGTGCTGTCACACCTGTGACGAGAGACGGCCTGTCACCTGTGGCAGAAGACCATCCCACAGCAGCTGGCCCCGGCTCTATGACTAGTGTGGGTGGGGCTGGGTGCACGGCGTCTCTCCCCGAGAACTTGCGTGCGCTGGGCTGTACTGTGCTGATGGTGCACACCTGCACATACCCTGGGCACCCACTGAGGACTCCGCGGTGAGGCACCTGGCCTCTCAGCCACGCTGGGGCGAAGCAGTCTATCCCTACACCTCTGACCACATGCTGAGGTCAAGGCCCCAAGGGTGGCAGAGGCAAGGTGCAAAGTCCCCGTGCCCACGAACACGAGATGGGCCACCCTGCCAGCTGGGCTACTGCTGCCTCTAAGCAGCCACCATGAATGAGCCTCATTCCTTCCTTCAATATTGAGTGCAGCAGGTGCCCTTCAAATAGCTAGGTACTCTAAAAACTGTTCCAGAATTAAACATACCATGTTGTGTTGAATTTTCCTCCAAAAAGTAAAGTATCTTTAAAAATATTAACTGATCTGGGCTGGGATGCACCTCATAAGTACTTGCAAACAAATATGAGGCCCTGAGTTTGGATTCCAGTACCTCAAAAGCGGGGGGTAAAAACCTCAGTAAAAATAACAGACTCTTGGTCTGGGGTTGTGGCTCAGCGGTAGAGTGCTCGCCTCGCATGTGCAAGACCCGGGGCTCGATCCTCAGCACCACATAAAAATAAATAGGTGAAATAAAGGTACTATAACTAAAAAATATTAAAAAAATAAGTAAATAAAAAAATTAAAAGACTCTTTCTTATATCAGCTGCACAGCAAGGAACAGAATGGTGCTTCACGTACCCCTTACTCCCGTGCAGCAGAGTGGAAGAAACTGGAGAGAGCCTTGGAGCACCAGCACCACCTGCAGCAGGATGCCCTGGCCCTCAGCCCTGGTCCCTGGCCCTCGGTCTCCCTCCACCACTTCCACCACCTCAGCAGCACGTGCTGCACAGGAGCCTGGGGTCACCGTGAGCCTGCGAGGTCTGTTCTTACAGCGTGTGAGCCACTGCCGATTTCCTCTTGCCATGCAGAACTCGGTCACGCAGTGCTGGTGCTGAGCCTGCAGCTGCTTCCCTTTCGGTGGTGCCAAGAGTTCCAGCACAGGTGTGCTCGGGTTGGCACATGCCGAGAGGGGACGGGCCCACAGGGGCTGCGCACCTCTCCGGAGGTCAGAATGACACCAGAGCAGGGTCCACTCCCACTCTGCACCTGTGCCTTTCTCTACCAGGCCACCTGTTGGGTTCTATCTCACTGAGGCTTTGCCTGTACCTCCCCAGGAACAAGAGCGGCTTCCTGTGCTTCCACTGGCCACGTGGGACCCTCTCTGGTGAAGCACTGATTCAAACTGCTTATTCTAAAAGAGATTCTTCACTATTTGTAGGAATTCCTGAGACACAGGTGTGTGTCAGCTGTTTTAAAAGAACTCTCCCAGAATGCCTGCTTGCTTTTCCTATGGCTCACACTACAAGATACACAAAATACATGTGCGTGTGTGTACACATATATGATTTTTCCAGATACATAACACGTGTGTGTGTGTGTACATACATATAATTTTTTGGTTTTTTGGTACTGGGGATTGAACTCAAGAGTGCTTTACCACTGAGCCACATCCCAGCCCTTTACTTTTTATTTTGAGACAAGGTCTCACTAAGTGGCTTGAACTTGTGATCCTCCTGCCTCAAGTTTCCCAAGTCGCTGGGATTACAGCTTGTCCACTGGGCCTGGTCCTAGATTCTTATTTTTAGTGTGGATACTCTATCAGTCTTTTCCTTTATAGTGATTTTTTTCCCTTTGGTAGGGGTGACATGTTTTAAAACTTCCTAGTCACAACTGTGACTTGTGCTGGGCATTCAACTGAACTGGGCCTCACACTAGAGCAGGGGCTCTACCACGGGGTTATATGCACAGCCCAGATGATCTTCTACATTTTCTAGAACTTTCTGCATTTGCCTTTAGCACTGAGATTTACAATCTTAAAACCCACTTTCATATAATAGATATAATACTTACTCAAGATTAACTTTTTTCCTTAAACCAACCAATTCTCCCAGGACATACAGGGGTGTACCACTAATGCCTGGCAGTATTTCGTATTTTTTTGATGATACTGAAAATAACATACATTTAAAAAATTCACTTGTTTCGTAGTATTTGGTCTCACACATCCTTAGATTTCTTTTTTAATATATATATTTTTTAAGTTGTAGGTGGACATGTACCTTTATTTTATTTTTATGTGGTGCTGAGGATTGAACCCAGTGCCTCACATGTGCCAGGCAGGCACTCCACCACTAAGCCGCAGTCCCAGCCCCCATCTTTACATTTATCCAGTGTCTGTCCCTGTCTCAGGGGAGCAGTGGCTTATGATGCAGTAAGTACACTGTCTGTCCTAAGATTTACTGATGCATTCATCTGTTTCTTTTGGTCAAAGTCAGTCCAATCACGAGTGGACGTTCAGCTCCACAGGACATCTTATGCACTGAGGTCACCTTTTCTTTCCTTCTGTTGCTAATGGCTATGTCACAAGTCTCCCACTCCTGGGGGACAGCAAGCCTTGCCATGATGCATCACCCTACCTTTCTGGCTGCTGATTTGTCTTAGGGCTGGATTTAGGATTTCTGCATCTTATGTTCCTCTTATAAACCTCCTGGGTCTTGTGCATGAACCTGGCTATAATTCCCTGTTATCAGAACTTCCTTCTTAGATTTTGTTTTTCAGGTTGTGTTGGCCTCAAAACAAACCAGAGACTGCTTCCATTATTCTGTCTGGAAGAAACTGATCACATTGTTCTTTATTATTTTATTTATTTATATGCAGTGCTGAGAATTGAACCCAGTGCCTCACACATGCTGGGCAAGCGCTCCACCACTGAGCCACAACCCCAGCCCCACATTGTACTTTTAAAAAGAATCTATTTTGCATATACTGTTAAATTTATTGGTATGAAATTGTTCATAATAAATCTATTTCTTGATGTCTATAGGATCCACAGTGGTGCCCCTTTTCATTTTGTATTGGTCATTGTTATTTACAGTTTCTAAAAAGTCTTTTCAAATAACATGCTTCTGGTTTCACACACCTTTTATACCCATAACTTTTTTTTACTCTTTTCTTTTTTTGGTACCGGGGGTAGAACCCAGGGCTTTGCTAATGCTAGGCAAGTGCACTATCACTGAGCTACATACCCAGACCTCTCAACTTTTAAATTACTTTTTCTACTTCTGCTTATTTTAAAAAATTAATGCTTTATTCTACATCCTTTTGAGTTTAACTTCCTGCTCTTCTACTTTTGTTGACCCTGGAGGCAGAACCCAGGGCCTTGAGCGTGCCAGGCAAGCTCTACCACTGAGTCACACCCTAGTCTTCCTTTTTCTACTACCTAACATGGACACTTTTGCATAATGATTGTCAGCCATTCTTCTTTCTCAAACATACATTTAAGAAGCTGAATCCCACAAGTGTTTTTTTTGGGGGGGTGGGGTGTCAGGGATTGAACTTAGGGGCACTCGACCACTGAGCCACACCCCCAGCCCTATTTGTATTTTATTTAGTGACAGGGTCTCTCTGAGTTGTTTAGCGCCTCACTTTTGCTGAGGCTGGCTTTGAACTCGAGATCTTCCCGCCTGAGCCTCCTGAGCCACTGGGATTGCAGGTGTGCGCCAGCATGCCTGGCCCACAAGCTTTTGTAGCAATATTTTCTTCATCAATTATTTTCTAATTTCTACTGTAACTTATTTTTCAAACCAAGGGTTATTAGAAGTGTGCAATATTTGCACATATTTCAACCCAGTCATCTTCTTAGTAACCCTAGTTTAGCTGCCTACAGTGAGAACACGTACCTCTGTATCATCTTAATTCTCTACAATTTGTCTTAACTTTATGCTTATGCTGGATTTTTATGAATATTCTATTTCCTGGAAAACGTAGGGAGCACTCATCAGCATCACAGGCACTGCTCTAAACATGCTCCCTAGGACGCTGTGTTGTCCAGTCTTTTGTTTCTTTACTGATTTTTCACTGGTTCAATTCATCAGTTACTAGGATGTGTGTGGGAATTCCTCACTTTGTATCTTCCTCTTTGTAGTTGTTTATTTTTGCTTTATTGAAAGCAAAACATGAAGGCTTTTGCTTTCCTAGTGAAATGAACCTTTCATCATTATGAAATGTCCTTCTTCATCTTCAGAGCTGCCTTATTTTAACATCAACAGTGACACAGTTTCAATGTCTGCACGACACATCAACTGCTGACCTTCCCTACTGTACCATGCCCTGCGTTTTAGTTGTGTCTATAATTAACAACATGCGTCAGTTGATTCAACGGAATTTCTAAATTTTTTTTTGTTTTAAATAATTTTGTTATTTAGAAATTATATTTATTTACTCTCCTACTATTTGTGCGTAATTAGTAGTCAATATCTTCTCCCATGCGTTTATTTTCTTCTTTTGCAGTGCTGCGGACAGAACTCAGGGCCTTGTATGTGCTGGAAAGTGCTACCATTCAGCCTTGTGCCTAACGCCCTTTTTAATTTTTACTAGTATCTTTGTACAAGTAGCAGTTAACTTGCATGAGGCCAGTTCCTCAGCATCTTCCTATATGGCTCGTGCTTTCTGACTTCTCTAAGAACACATTTGATTCAGTGTTTCTTTATCTAGCACTGTACCCGAAAACAGGGATGGATCACTCAGAGTTCCAAAGGGCCAGGAGTACAAAGAAACCCGCTGCAGAACCACTGTCAGAGGGAGCTCTTTGTTGGTTTTGCACAATTACCAAGAACGGGGTGAGCTTCATTAGGAGGAAAGGCTTGTGGAGTTCACTGGCCAAACAGACGGCCATATCAACGCAAAGCGTCAGTTTGGTGGAAACACGGGCAAGGACTTTTACTTGAGAAATATAACAAGCAAAAAGCAAAGTGAGACTTTTACAAATAAGAATTATGTATTTAATATAATAAGTGTAATACATTATATAACATATAATAGCGTGAAATAGATTGGTTGGGAAAAAACTCTACTATTGACTGTCAATTTAAATTTGGAAGGGAATAAAAAAGAAAATGAGTTATTAAAGGGGTAATGTGAATAAAAATAATAAATAAAACTTGAAACTGGAATTCAAAAGGCTTGTGTAGTTGTATAAGATATTTATAGAATATGTAAAGAAAATGCACTGATATATATAACTAGAAGTCCCCCCATCCCACCAGGGATTCAACCCAGGGGCGCTTAACCACTGAGCCACATCTCCAGTCCTTTTTATTTTTATTTTAAGTTGCTTAGGGCCTTGCTGAGTTAGTGAGGCTGGCTTTGAACTTACAGTCCTCCTGCCTCAGCCTCCCAAGCTGCTGGGGTTATAGGCATGTGCCATTGTGCCCAGTCTAAAATTATAATTTATAAGTTGAAAATTACTAACGTGGAAAGTATGTTCCCTTCTATAGAAGCTTAAACTAAGAACGGTTTACCTACCCCAGCTCGGTCATGCCGTCCATGAACTCCTTCCTGCTGAATTCGCACTGAGTGGCAGCCCTGAACTTCCATGCTATGACCAGAACACTGATGCTGGTGGGGTCCAGCCTCAGATCGTCACAGAATTGCTGAATCCCATCAATCCCGATTCTGTCTCCATCTTGCGGGTCTGTAGTTAAAGTCAATGGGGTTAGGGTCACACCACCTGGTTGCATAACTCTGGCAAGTAAACCTCAGACACACACCAATGGACTAGCTTTCTACTACCTATGAAAGAAACAGTGGGCAACAAGTAACGACTCACCCAGAAACCAGTCTATCTTTAAAATCTAGATTTGCTTGCTTCTAACAGTGCTATGGGATTGAATCCAGTACCTCGGACACACAAGGCAAGCTCTGTGCTGCTGAGCTGCATCCTCGTTTGATTTCTGGGTTTTATCATTCAGGAGTAAGTTTAAGGAGTGGTTGCTCAGGAGTAGAGTGCTGGCCTAACGTGCAGAAGGCCCTGGTTTGAGCAGGAGCATCACCACCACAAAAAAAGAAGAAGGAAAAAAAAAAAAAAGACTGGGATGTAGACCCAAGGTAGAGAAGCTGTCTAGTGTGCACAAGGCTCTGTTTCATCCCTTGCACTGCAAAGCAATTCAATTTCCCTAAAGTAAGATAAAAATTCAAGTTAACAGAATTTTAGTTTCCTTGAAGACAAACTGCTACAAAAAATATTGCAGTGATAAAGGGTTTTGAATGCTTGGAATTTTTATCACAACTCCACCAAAGTAAAAAAGAATGATTGATCAAATTTTTCCTCTTTAAGTCATTTCATTTGCTAATTCTAATGCTACTAAACAATTACTTTCCAAAATCATTTAGATTTGGAGACACTGTGGCACACACCTGTAGTACCTTGGGAGCTGAGGCAGGAGGATTCCAAGTTTGAGACCAGCCTCAGCAACTTAGCCAAACCTGTCACGAAATAAAAAATAAAAAGGGCTGGGATGTAGCTCAGTGGTAAAGTACTCTGGGTTAAATCCTCAGTATTTTTTTTCAATTTTTTAGTTGTAGTTGGACACTATACCTTTATTTTATTTATTTTTTAATGTGGTGCTGAGGATTGAACCCAGTCAGTGCCTTACACGTGCTGGGTGAGCACTCTACTGCTGAGCCACAACCCCAGTCCCTAAATCCTCAGTATTAAAAAAAAATCAAATAAAAAAAAATTTGGCTTATGCATCTACACTTAACAGCATGGAAATTCAGGCCCCCCTACTTCTGCTTTAGAAATAAAATTAAGAAATTTAGCATCTGTCTATGAGAAAATCAAAACAGTAAAGTACACTGATACAGCCCAGCAAGACCTCACTATACTGAGCCCTTTAATTTCAGAAGGATCATGTATGTTATCATATATCATCATAACGTGTGTGTGGATTCTACTGGTACAGAGATACAAATAAAAAATCTAGAGCTTCTTTGTTCAAATAAAGCTCAGATGTGTTGAACTTTTCTTCTCCTTCATATGTAATTTAACTCTGGTCATTTAAGTACTAGATATCACATTTTTTAAATATGTTGTTTCTAAAGAAAAATTAACATACATTATATAAACAAAACCAGAAACCCTTCTAACTGTATCTTCTCACACAGAGAAACCAAACTCAGCTTTGGGAGTGTGACAAAGGTTCTATATTCTCTATTTCCATTCTATCTGCTGACATTACACCTCTGCAGATCAAAGAAAATCCCACTCTTACCAAACTAGCCATCCTGGTCAACTTCATGAGGTTCTCCTTCATTTGTATACATTAGATGTTATATTAGTACACAGTCTTTGAATTATATATTTAGAACTCAAAAGGATGTAACCTATTTGAATTATATATTTAGAATCCAAAAGGACTAGCCTGCATGAATAGAATCAAGTAATGATGAAGGGATGAAGCTTAATAAATAAATTTCACTGAAGTATTTCTTCAAAGACAGCTCTATTTGAATAATTATAAAATTGTGCAAAGGATATGACTTACAGAATTAGCTAAAAAACTTTAAAGTACACTAAACAGTTTTCACTTTTTGAGAACTATGATAATTACAAATCTGGTGTTTTTCATTTTTAACCATACAGTAGGTTTCTGAACAGTTTTTTTTTTTTTTTTAAAGAATACAATTTTCAATCCATTTGCCCAACAGAGGGGGAGCAAGGAGACAGTATCTTTGAAAATAACAAATAAGAAAGTAAAAACCAAGAAAATTTTTCTATTGGGCGAACATTTGCTTAAGTGAAAGTCTTTTTTTTTTTTTTTAAAAAAAAACTAAATTTTAATAAAAACTTGCTAGAAAAAAAAGCAGTCCGTCAAGTGAATTGTTTCTGCTTTAATTGATACGAACTCTCCCGACCACCAGGGGTGTGGGTCTGTTCACGCTGTCACGCACACTCACTTTCATGGCATGGCTGCACTTTGATAGACAAAGCCACATTCTAGGCTCTTCAATTAAAATAAGTCATCCCCCATGTCCACGTGGAGCTGTCTCACTGAGAGCGCCCCCACAGGGACAGCGTGGCACGAGGGCGCCCCCAGGTGGGGAGCGGGCGGTCATACTCTGACTCTTCAGTAGTGCTCTGCCACGGATGTTTCAGTCTAGATAAATGCTGGCAAAGACCCCTGTGCTATCAGGTGTGGCCACAGGCAGACTCCAGGCCAGGACACTGAGCAGGGCTGCTTCCCACGACCACTAGGGTCACACTCCCTGCAGAGAACACGCTGTGGCTGCAGGTCACACCAGGCCAGCTTTCCAATGCCCCTCTTTCCCCTTATTGAGAAAGGGGTTCTGGAGCTCAACGTGAGGAGGAGCAGCAGCTTGGAGCTCTGCGGTCCTTGGCACCCGAGGTCCCAGGAGCAGTGCGCCCTCTGCTTGCTAGGGATGGCCTCTGGTCTGGCCCTGCTGCCACGGCATCCCTTACCTTTGTACCTGCCATACAGCTGCTCCAGCTTCCTCTGGTCCACAGCGTCCCGCCTGGACTCCCTGTGGAACACGTCTGGGGTTTGCAAGAAGCTGGCTGTGGCCTCGTCTAGCTTCCACTCACTTTGCGTTAGGCAGTAGATGGCAGTTCTCTCACCAGCCTGAGTGCGCGCCATAAACTGGCGGACCTTGTCCTTCTGAGTCGACTTAAGCTTATGCTTGGGATGCAAAAGAAGCAGGAGAGCCAATGAAGCCTCTCTAGGGTTGTGTAGGCCGCTACTTCTAATGCCTGCTGTTAACTGGACTCAACTTCACTTCAGGGTTACAGGACACCAGAGTCTTGTTCATCAGTGAAAACTGGAACGACAGCATCGATAGAGCAACAGATATGCCAAGTCCAGTCCTCAACAAACTGTGAGAATCAGCCTTTTACAGAAAATACGCTTTGATCACTACCTGGTTCCCCTTACACAAGTACAACAGTCCCCCGCTTGAAAATCTCAGCACGGGCTCTCGGCAAGTCTAGCCCTCTGAAGACGAGGTAGGACCTGACTTCAGGGCAGGGTCCATCTGCAGGGGCTTTGCTTCTATTGAGCCCAAGTGCTACTTCACAGGAGGGGCCAGCAGTTTGAAACAGTCAGCTTTCCAGTTTAAAAACAACCACAGTAATGAAAACATGCACACGTAAAATGATTATCACATCAGCAGCATAAAAAGTTTGTTGTGACGAAATGAAAGTGATGACACTGGTCACAACATGTCTGCATGTGTGAGACAGAAACAGGGCAGGGCAGGAGGGTAGGCAAAACCAGCAAGCTGCAAGGGAACTGCGCTATCTATAGTCCATGATGAAACAGCAGGCACAGGGTGAAGGTCTCACTGCTCTAATGTCACCTGGTGAAAGCAACA